TTCCCTACATTGCCTTCTCAGGGAAAAAGAAAACAATCAACAACCAAACTTCTTGCATTTAAATCAGGCAGGCCTTCATTTAATTTCTTACTCCTTCAGCAGTGAAATGGTGTTTTAGTGAAAGCGTTGTTTACTGCTTAATGTTGTTATGTTATTTGCTGTTATAACAAACTATTTTAACAAAATCTTTAAAAAAAACCTGTTCTCTTGAGCTTTTCCATCAACCTATCTTTTTTCCCCATTTTGCCATTGCAAGATTCCTCTCAGGTATTGATGTCTGTACCCATAATGGGCTTGCAACCAATGCTCTAGAAAGAACTCTGCCTCAAGGCAGGAGAATACCTTTTGGAGCCTCCAGGTGTGCAGGGAGGAATACTGAGTGCTGCATACTGTCAACCAGTTTCAGTATATTCCACTTCTTCTCCACGTTATTAATTGATACTGGAAACCTGCTCTTATTTTTTAGTTAATGTACTGTGAAAATTCTTAGATAAAATGATTTGTGCAATTAGTAGAAGGTACTGCAAGTAGAGGTAGAAGAATGTGACTTTACTGTAAAACTGCATTTGTAGTATAGGTGTTTTCAGAAGCAATTTAAAGAATCTATATTGAGGGATCCTGCTGTTTCTTTAGCATATTTTTCAGCTGATGAAATTTTACAATGGCTCACTCTAAAATACTAGGGCTCCCAAATAACAGTTATCTTCCTGGGCAGCAGTGTTATGCCAAGTCCTCCATAAATTAATTGTGAAGATGTCATTGAGCGCAGCTACACGTGTGCTTTAATGCACAGTATACTATTTTACCGTGCATTAAAGTGTTACGTAAGAAACCGTGACATTATGCTAATGCACAGTAAAATAGTCTACTGAGCATTGTGCCACTAAGAAAGCATGCAAATGCACTACTGTGCATTAGCGCAGTCTAATGCACATTAATTTAGTACTTCATATTGGAGGTACTGGATTTAATGCACATTTAAAAAGGAGCATCAATCCATATGAAGATGCACATGCCCATTCACTTCCAAAAAGGTTTGCAACTTAAAGTCCTGTAAAGAATAATAGGGATGCTTAATTTACAAACGAAGCCAGCGTGGACTACTGGGCCTGCTTTCATCATGACAGACTTGCACACTACCATGTTAGCATCTGGGAAAGAATGAGGGGAAATAGAGAGCCCTCTTTCAAAACTGAAGAAGTCCTAGACTCGGTTAAGATCAGAGAATGGGAGAAGATTCATATTTTTCTTATATGACTTGCCTTACCACATAAATACAAACCATAGTTAAGTGAAGTTATTATGTCTTTGACAATATCATTACTATTCTAATCAGACTTGGACACCATTCATACTTTTGACTACAGCTGATTGAATAATTAAAACACGAACATGGAGCTGTATAAGCAAATAAACTACTTGCTGCTATATGTGGGAGTCATACTATTCATTATTTACAAGTATTCGAAGAGCTGCTAGAATTTCTGGAAGTATTTTTGAATTTCCCCCTCTCCCCACCCTGCCCTCACCAAATTAATTAATTTGCACTAACAAAGTAGGAGAATTGGCTTTCAGATTTTTCTCTTAATCTCTCTTTCCTCAAAAAAAAATCAGTTATCCTATCAGGAAGCAGAAGCAGTGCCATACATCTAATGGCATGGCATAACTTGTGAAAAACCAACCACAAAATAGCTTCTGTGCATTTTGTGAACTACCTCTCCTCTGAAAACAGTTCACCTAAACTCTTTAATAAATACTTACTCATGGAAAATAAGTCTTCACCATTTTGATTCAACTAGTACTAGACCAGCTATAGAACTAGCTTCATTTTGTAAAGAGTTTTAAATGGTTTGAGCCAGTTGCCTGGGACACACTACAGCAACAGAAGTCAGCTAGGTTGCTCAAACCAATAGACCCTTGATTTAACCATCTTGGGACAAGAGGTTCTGAGTTGTGAGTCTAGGACACTGAAATTTGCTTCCTCAGTTAGTCCAGCAAAGTCTGGGCCTCTTCCCTGTAATCAAGTTCCCAGCTAGGAGTAGAGTGGCAAGAGTTGGTATGTGTTTGCTCTGAAGTTTTTGTTTTTTTCATACAATTATTTTAATGACATATATTCATCCTGTCCTTGGGACATGTAAGTGACATGTAGTTGGATGCATTTTATAAATAAAACTAATGCACACATATTTCAAATGTTGGTAATTACACAGAAACTTGCACTTGGACTGCTCCAGCATCAGTTGATAAGTAGGTAATAAACTCATGTCACCAGCATAATAAAAATTAACATCAAATGAAACTACTGAGCAAGTTAATCTACACAAAATGTTCTCATCACCACATTAGCTGCCTTTCTGTTCATAATACATAAATGCCCAATCCAGTTGACATCTATTGGATAGTAAATGGTGGTGAATATACTTGGTAAATATTTTCAGTATTACTCCATAAAGTACTTTATTTATAGGCAATAACATTCAATATACTTGTGTATTAGCCTACTAAATTAAGTATTTTTGAAATTAATGAGGCAAGTGTCTGTTCTTTACAACTAATCACTCTAGTAGTAAAACTAATGTATACCTAGTGGACAATTCAAATAAGACTACTTTTTAGTAATGCCTTTTAGTACTGAAGACCAAGCTACAGAACTTGCTAAAGTGACACATGAAAATTAATTTAGACAGTTACTGTTTGTTCACATAGGAAGAACACTACAAAATTTGGTATAGTCTGTCACAATGACTAAAACTGTATTCCCATATACCTATATTTTGCAAGTCCTCAATATTACTAAGGTCAAGTAGTAAAAATAGTATTGCTGTTGTCAAGTTATAAAAATGTTGCATTGATCTTGCATATACCATACTAAAACAGTTTAAAAAGAAAATATTTTAACAGGAAGTAATGTGCTATAAAATAAAGTGAGGTGTGCATCTGCAAGATTTCACTTAAAGCTGAAAAGATCATTATACAAAATTAGTTATTTCTTATATTCAATAGCTTGATTTCACATATAGGTATCTGAAACGTTGAGTTTTTATATTTTTTGCTGACCCTTTGTGGACAATGACTTAACTGACCTTTTTATTGGTTTTTTTTTAATTATATCTGGGCTAACGGGTGTGCAAAGTTTCAGTTTACTACAGCTGGAAACAGCTGGCATAGTGGTTCCAGAAAAGGAGAGCAATGTTCAGCCCTTAACTGAAGGGAAACTACTGAATGCTCCTGCTCTAACCCAGTATATTCATGTGCCAAAAGCTTGGTTGACTGTATCACGTGACTAAAGACAGTGGGGCCATTTGTGGGAGGAAGGTCACCAGTACACAAACATGGTTGTACATTTCAGTGACCAAAGGAAATGGCACTAAACATTTTATTAGTTCTCTTTAAGAAAATTTTGTCTTTGCAGAAAGATATTTCTCCATTAAATATTGATTTACAATTATTTTAAGTCAGAGGTTTACCAGAAGAGTCTAGTCCAAGCTATAAAGCACAATTCAGGAATTTAGATAGAACTATTTTTCTTGTCATCCAGTTCATTTGGGCATGACAGCTGGCCCGTCAACAGATTTGCCACTAAATCTACTGCTTTTCAGCTATGATATTAGGAAGGTGTAAGTTTTCACACTGTTAAATAAAATATAGTGGAGATTTCAGACATCTACTGCAGTATAGCAGTTTATTAAGCCAGCCTTTTATTAAGCCAGCCTTTTATTAAGCCAGTACCTTTCTGTTTTCAGGTACTTATACATTGAGAGACCTCGGAAATGAAGCTGAAAGTATTGGAGTATAATAGTTCTAGTCCAGCCATGAAAAACAAATCATGCAGCTACATCCAAATAATTATTATTCTTACAAGAGAACATGCAATGATGGTCTGTCTGTTTGTACTTACTGCTTTATAAGTTCGCTTTTGTCCAGCATGCTTTCTGATTTGTTCTCCATTGGGCCCTGTTTCCACATGCATGGAATAGATAATGTCAAAGAAATCTTCAACCACGGCTACCCGCCGTAAAGATAGCTTCTCATCTACACCTACTCCATCCTGAAAAAAAAAAAAGGATAAAGAGGGCAGGATGAATAGATAAATTATGATCATCATATAACATATCATCCTTTAGCGAGATCTGATTAGATAAAGACCCTTTGCATTGAGATCTGAAGTTCACCATTTCAGAACAATACTTAACAATTCAATGAATGACAGTAACATCATTATACAATGAATGTAAGATCATAAGAATCCTGAAAGAGGCTTCTTTTAAAAATAAATCATTTGGCTGATCTGATATATTATGTAATCTAGAACTTTTCTTTATATTGCGCTCTGTTAAAAAATCATTTACACTTGTTTCTCCAAATCCCCAAACAGCATTTTGTAGAATTATTCTGATGAAAAGTATTAATTCACTGATAACTGAATAGCACATGACTATTAATGCAAAGGAAGTTATTGTCACAGATGGTTCACCACTGGAAAACATATTTGCCAATCTATTGTATGAAGGCTTCTCACAACATGAAGGAAACCAAGCATATCTGACTCAAGTAACAGCATGTTGTGGATGTGTACAAGTTGATTTAAGGTGAGACGGGACTGTGCATGCTCAGTACTTCTAAAAAATTACAGATATTCATCTTTAGAGTAAATGAACAAAATTCAATAGCTCTCTTTCAGATAAGTCTGTCCACATCAGATCTCTTCAAACTATATGCAAATTTAGTGCTAATGAAAGGAATTAGGCTAAGTACAGATGTTCAAAAAGCCTGAGCCTGAACTGATTCCATCTTTGCAGGTTAGTCTAACCTGTGTAGATTGAACCGAGAAGTAAGTGATTAGGCTTTCACTTTTAATTCTGGAAATGCAGCCACAATTCTGCAGTGGCCCAGGCTAGAAGCTTGGGAATCAGAAGAGCAGCGTTTCCCAACTGGTGTACCGTGGCATGCTAGTGTGCCATCAGGCACGTCCAGATGTGCTGCGGCATTTTGCGCTGGGGCTACACCCCCTGCCTGGCTCAGCCATGCCTCCCGCCTGCTGCAGACATAGACAGGGAGCGTGGCTCTAGCCAGGCACGGGGCTTAGCTCTAACTCAAAATGTCATCCAGCTGGCTGCATGCCAGCCCTCCCCATCAGTGTCCAGCTGGCCACGTGCCACCCCCACCCCCCCCAAGTCGATGTCCGGCTGGCCACATGCTTTTTTATTTAGGTAAGTGTACTGTGGGGCAAAAAAGATTGGGAAATGGTGCACTAGAGCAAGCCCTCCCTTCCCTTCTGCAGTGGCTGGAAGACTGGAGGGAAGATGAACTGAGGGGAGTGGGGTGTGGCCAGGTTCCTACAGGTCCTGAATATAATTGGGAAGGGGTTTAAACCTCCAGCTGGGCCTGCACAGTCCCCAGCTGGGGTATGCCTGGACGGGGAGGAGGGAAGCAACCTTTGCCAGGCTTTTTCAGAGGGAAGGGAGGAGTGTGGCCAGACACCAACCCCCAGATGGCACCGAAGGGTCAAGCAGTGAGAGAAGGGGTGTGGCCAGACCCTGGCCCCAGACCTGAGGCAAAGCAGGGAGGTAGGGGGGAAGCCAGCCCCTGCCTGAGCCCTGGCCAGACCCTCCCATCCCATATAAGCACAATTTAAAGAGTGGAGAGTTTGCTCATAGTGTCCACAACCAAGAACACCCACCAGGAGGCTCTGTACTGCTAGGGAAAAAAGCCACCAAGGGCTTCCTGTAGCTGGTTTTCACCCCCTGCCCCACAGCAAGGCCCAGCGCTGTGCCTCTCCAGCCCTGAGCCCCGAGGCAGTACTGAACAGAGCCCCCCACCCTCTAGCCCCACAGCAGGGGAGAAGGAGGAGGTGGAGAGTCCTGCCCACTGCGGCATCTCTGTGACAGCCCGGCTCAGCCTGGGTGTGGGGAGCTGGGAGCAACCCAGGTACACTGCTCCCGTGGCCTCAGCCTGAGCCACATCCAGCTGGGAAGGGCCCCTTGGCCTAGCCTGGCACATCCCCACATTCCACCCACCTTGCCCGGGGTTGAAGCTGGGGCTGCGGGGCTGAGCCAGGCCGGCCTGTGGGTGCTGCTGAGGGCAGGTGCAGACAGGCCAGGTTACGGGGGCAGGGCCCTCTCCAGTCAGCTGGGGCTCAAGTTGGGGCCATGGGAGCTGTACACCTGGATTGCTCCCAGCTTCCCATGCCTAAGCCAGGCCAGACTGTTATGGAGCTGCTGAGGTGGGCAGGGCTCTCCCCCTCTTCCTCCTCCCCCACCGTGGGGGTGGGGGGCCAGGGGGCACTTCTGTCACTAGCCTTAAAGTGCAAGCACAGTTTGTGCCAGTTTCTCCACATAATCCTGCCAGTGAGCCTCAGTCTTGAGGCTCCTGGTCTCCTACTCTAGGCATCTGTTTAGACGGCTGGTCTTTATGATACAATATAAGCATGTGTGGACAAGGATGAGAACAGCCACTACATTTTCACCTGCAAACCAAGACAGAATCTGCCTTTAGGTCTAGAGGCAACAATGCCACCTAAACCTCCGACATGTATTTTTTAATGTAATAAATGCTCTCAGAACTTAACAAGTTTCATCTTGCCATTATTAATGATGAATGCACTTACGGAATGGGTTCACAATGACCTTTTGGTAACAATACACTTTCAGTGATTACTTCTACCACCACAGAAAGCCCCAAACTGACAAAATTAATAGATACTGGCTGTACTCTAACTTCAAACTGTAGTCCCACCAATATTCAACTTGCATTAAGCTATATCCAAAAGCCTCCTTGGTATGCATAAACATCTAATTTTTTATTTGTGGTCTTTTGTTACATCATATTCATTTTATTGCATTTCCATCTAAGTTCCTGTGGAGACTTGCAGTGGATATGAATGCTTTGCATTTCTATAGAACGTTCTTCCCAAAGATCATAATGTTACCAGTCATACCAATACATTTCTCAATATTACATAATATCCCTTGAAGATGTTTCTACAATTAAAAATTGTAGTTAAAAATGGGTCCAATCTAAAACCTGGAACTGAACAGTTCCAAACTTTGGGGAAGTTTATAATTAAAACTTTGTAGTTTTGACCCACCTTTTTCATTACTTGCTTACTAGTCAAACAACACTGTGAATTCCATAATGTTTCCAACCACTCTTATTATGATAGTGTTATCTCATGACATTTTCAGAACACTTAGAAGTCTATTTTTTTGATTAGCTGGTAAGGACTTAATCTGTGTATTACTAATGAGTATTGTTAGGAAATTTCCTAGAGGCATGTTCTCCCTTTTAATTAAAGGGAAATATATTACAACAATATTAATTTAATATCAAAGATGCCATATCAGCAGAGCTGAAACACACAGCATCAGAAAGGTATTCCAAGATTATATTCACAAAGGAAATTGTGAGAAAAGGCATTTTGAGGTCTTTGGTGGCCATAGTATGCTGTGTTATTTCTTTTTGCTTTTGTGGTGCAGTCGCAACTTTTAAAAAGAATGATCAAGTCAAATCTTACTATTCACTACCATGCCACCTGTAACTTCTAATTCAAATACCAGGGAATCCAAACAAATTTTTAAATCTAGTCAGACACCAAGAAAAAGAATAAATGGCATGTACTAAATGGCACATTTAAAATGAAGGCAGTATTATTATTTAAGATTTATATTTGTTGTAATCCTTAGAAAAAAGTCAGGTCAAGCTCCATTCTGTTAAGTGCTGTAAACATAAAGTGACAGCTCTTGTTTGAGAGAGCTTGGAATCTAAAAGACAAGCCATAACTGGTGTGTAAGATCAGCAAGCAAGTCATCAAGGAAAGGGAAAGATGCAATTAGGGATAAAAAAACAAAACAAAACCAGTAGGTTGTGTGCAAATGTTAGAAATTTCACCTGCCTAGTCCTTATCAAATTGAAGTTTCCTTGGAGCATTACAACAGTGGCAGGTTCTGATGATAAACTTGAATGAGGATAAGGATTTTGACTGAGAGGATATAGATCAGTGATTCTCAACCTTTCTTGATTCAAGGCACCCCGTGAAAATGCCAGGTCTTAGTTTTCTCTCATTTTTTTTACTACAGACGCATAATAGAGCCATTTTTCTGTTGCAAAAGACTCAGATCACAACAGGTCAGAATGTTTTTAACCCTAGGTTTTCCTATTTGAAACCTCTAGGTTTATCTTTTGAATCATGTTTTCACACCTAACAGTGCCAACATTTTGTGGCACCCTTAAAACAATCTTGCAGCACCCTAAGGTGCCCTGGCACCCTGGTTGAGAATCACTGGTAGAGACAGACCTATCAATGTTATCACTATCAGAAGATACCAATACAAGCTGCTATACTGTAACTGTTACATTCACATGATCTGATACAAGTGTAGCAAATGTGCTCTAACTTATCCCTGTTCCTTTAGGTTCAAAGTTAAAGTGACTTAACTAACTTTTATGGCTACAGGAGCATGCAGCTCTAACAGTTAGAGCATAACAGCTTCTGTGTGCTCCCAAGCAGCAGTTTCACCTCCCCTTTTGGAGCAGCTAAAATGTACATTTGTCCATACCCAGATTCCAGTATAATTTATCAGTATTAAATAAAGACCATGATCTAAACCCAGTCAGAAAAAGGCAGAGGGAATGATAAAATCCAAACCCCGATCATCACATTTTGGAAGTGGACCATGCTATACTAAGTTTTTGCTACTCTATGCCACCTCACCACTAATATCACTACTCGACTAAAATATTAACATGCTGCTCTAATTTAAAACTTGGCACCAAGAAAAATTTTCTATAGTGCCTAAGGACAGCATTTTTTAAATTACATATGTGATTTCAGCTACATTTGTATAATACATTTACTGTCTCACACTTGTTGCCTGCTCCAGCAAACCTGCCTCCTAACCTGGAAGCCGTGTAACCACAGCTGCATGACAATGAGGCTAAGTAGCTTAGTGCAGGCTAACTGTCATAGACCTGTACTAATTAGCTTCCCCCTTTACACCCCAAATGCTACATGGAAGTAGCTATGGTGCATCTAATTTACGAATTAGTCTG